TTGTTGATGGGACTTGTGTTTGTAGGTGTGTGCAGAGTCTGGCGCTGTGAGTGTATGAGTGTTTCGTCCACCTGGATGAGCTCTTGCAGTTCTCTCTTGACCTCATCCAGTCCTCCGATGTCCTGCCAGTTCACCTGAGGCACCTCTGCAATAGTCTCTCTCAGAGCCGATGGGTTGCTCTGACTCAGCGCCCACTGAGGAAGGACATGGTGTTGTCTTCATTTATTCTGGCATTAAGAAGATTTTATATGTGGTGCTGAGCTAATACACAGTATGTGTGTGTGTGTGTGTGTGTGTGTGTGTGTGTGTGCATACTTCAAAGTCATCCATGGTGACAGCCAGCGAGTTGAGCAGGTCAGCGTCAATGGATTCATCCTCAAGGTCTATGAGGACCATCTTCTTGCGGATGGCTTGCAGAGCAGCTTCTGAGCACAGAGCAGCTATGTCGGCGCCTACATGACCGTGGGTCTCTGTGGCGATCTGAAATATCAATATTCATTTATTAAACAGCACACATGCAATCAAGATTGGGATAGAATTCAGTTTATAGATCCTATTTTAAACAACAACACTGAAATGAGAAACTGACAATATTTGATGGGAATGATGTTGGTGAATTAAACACAGGAATGGTAACAAATTCCACCAGCATGAGCGTGAATTGAATTGAATTTAATCTGTTATCACTAGAAGGTTAACACTCAAAAATGAACATATTTATTGGTCAGATTATAATAGTCACAAGTCTCATTGTAGTTTACCTGTTAATAATTTACATGACAAAGTTTACTGTCTAATTACATGACGTAAAAGTTATACAAACACAGCGGAATTTTACGTAAATGTTAAATTAAGAGGGATCTCCTGCGAAACAAATAATTTATTTTAAATTCACTCTCAGCCCTTTTATCTCACCGAAGATAGTTAGGCAAAGTTATTCTAAATCATAAGAGATAAGACAGCAAAAGAAAAGCGGCAAATCCTCAGCTGGATGTCTGGCATTTCTGCTTGAAAAATGACAGTTGTTGATATTATATAAATAGTTGCAGATGAATCATTTGCCAATCACCTAAAAGTATTAGCTGTAATTATTGGAGAATTTAGAAGATATGTTTTTATGTTGGCTCGGCTCCGGGCTGCTACATTTTCTCACCCTCTCCAGGTCGACGTTGTCACCCAGTTTCATGTTTTTGGTGTGAATCTGCAGGATCTCCAGTCTGCCGGTCGAATCAGGGATTCCAATGTCAATCTCCCGGTCAAACCTGCCTGGAGAGAGACACCATATTTGTAAATGTGTGTATATGCCTGTGTGTGGGTAATACTACTGTTGTGGGGATGTAAATCTGTTTACACAGTGTGTGTGTGTGTGTGTGTGTGTGTGTGTGTGTGTGTGTGTGTGTGTGTGTGCGGCTGTCCTGACCGAAGCGTCTCAGAGCAGAGTCCACGCTGTTTGGCCGGTTTGTGGCTGCCATGACGACCACATGAGCTCTTTGCTTCAGACCATCCATCAGGGTCAGGAGCTGGGAGACTATACGCCTCTCCACTTCACCATGTGTCTACACACACACACACACACACACACACAGTTACACTGACCTTATACATAAAATGGTATTTTGCTACTTGTTCTCTGATGTTTACCTTCTCTCTCTTGGGAGCGATGGCATCCAGCTCATCAATAAAGATGATGGCCGGAGCATTTTTCTCCGCCTCCTCAAATGCCTTTCTTAGGTTGCTCTCTGACTCTCCCGCCAGCTTGCTCATGATTTCAGGACCTTCAGAGAATGATGCAGAGCAAGTAAAACACACGTTTTCCTACACAGACATCTAAATAAGAACACCAAAGATGTCTTTGCCTATTGTGAAGAGCAGGATTAGGTTTCTTCCTCTCATATGGCCTCACTGTGTCAACAACAAAAACAAAAAGACTCACCATTAATGAGAAAGAAGAAGGCACCAGTTTCGTTGGCTACTGCCCGGGCCACCAGGGTCTTTCCTGTGCCTGCAGGGCCGTACAGCAGGATACCTCTGGGAGGCTGAGAGAGTCATAAATGCCTGTTGTTAGGATCAAAGGATGCAGAGATATGAGTGGTTGGGGTCAGGGTTTGTGTGAGTATGCACCTTAACTCCTATAGTCTTGAAAAGCCCGGGGTGTCTGAGAGGAAGCTCCACCATCTCTTTGATCTGGGCCAGCTGCTTCCGGCAGCCTCCGATGTCGTCGTAGCCGATGTCATTAAGGCTCTCCTCCTCGTCCTGTCACAGGTCAATATGCAAGAGTCAGATCTGGTCGAGTTTATTCTTAGTCATTAATGTGGTATACACTTAGTGGCCTGGTTCCCGATGACTACAAAGTTCCATGAAATCCCTCAAACTGGATGATATTCTGACTTTATGGATACTTTATACAGGAGTTGTTCTGCAGTGCAATGTACTATGGATAAGAGAGGAGTGAGTGATTGCTGGAGGGGGGGCAAAATGTGGTGGATGATTATTTAATGGATTAAACAACAGGTTAGAAAATTATCAATAAACTAATAATGCTTAGAAAAGCTTTGAGGATCGACACAAATTTGTTGCAGCCTGCAGTAACTTCTTCCACACTTCTACACCAAAATAGTGCATTTAGATAACTACTCATTGTGTATTTTAGACTATTAGTATATAGAGCTGGGAAATAAGGAAATAAGTGATAATTACACAGATTTTTAATGATGCATTTGTAGCATCTTGTTGCATCAGGACTTCCTTCCTGATAGGAGCTCAGTATCTCACTAAAGTGGTCTTTTGACATTAAACAGTCCAGAGGTTCATAAATCTCTCACAGACCTCTCTTTTGATGGGTTCTCCCTCACAGTAGATGACAGTGTCTGGGGCAACAATGCAGTGAGGGCTGGGGTCAGTCTCCACCACTTTGAACTCCACCGCCCGCATGCTCCCCCTCACCAAGAAGATGTCATCTGGCAACACAGATAAGAAAAAAAGTTACCACACAGAGGAGCATCTGAATGTGTTCTAGATGCTGTTGTGGTGGTGATATGATCTAACAAACAAGCAGATATGAACAAAAAGAGGTTGTCACCTGGTAGTAACGTCTTTGGTGATGAGGTTTTACAGGATTGTGTTTTGAATAGAGCTGTTTTACTGGGGTATGATCAGTGGCAGAGGTGTTGCAGTACCTTTATGTACGGGCCGGTAAGCCTCCAGAAAATACGGTTTGAGGAAAACCTCAAAGAGGTTTCCCGTCAGGCCCTCAATGGTTTCATCTATTGGGAGGACATGGATCTTTTTCCCATACTTGATGTCAGGGCAGGCATGAATACTGTGATAAAACATCAGCAGCAATTAGTGAATTCTTGCTCATTATTTCATAGAATATTCTCAAACCTCACATGTGACACAAAGACACAGGTGTGAGATCTACCTGATGATGTCACCGAGCCGGACGCGTAGGTTGTTGCGCGTCACACGATTCACGCGGATTCGTTCATCCCCACAGGTGTCATCAGTCAGGACGATGCACACCGTTTGGCGACACTTCCGCCCTTTCAACACCACCGTGTCACCCCGGAAGAGCTGCAGCTCCTCCATCTTATTCTAGTGGAAACACACGCAAATTTCAGAAGAACTACATACATGACTAGAATTCATATTTACACCGTACACAGACCTGTGGCAGGCTGACAATGCTGCTGTCTTCATTGAGAGCTTCGTCCACAATGAGTCTGTTGGGTCTGTGTTTCTGCTTGAGGATGGCGGTGGAGAAGTCTTCTCCCTTTGGGCTTCCAAACAAGAGACACACTATGACTCTCTCCCACTCTGCACTTGGAGCTCTAATTTCCTCATGTGACACTGAGCTGTATTTAGACTCTCTTTGGCCCTGCACGTAGCAACTAAGTGAGTCTGTAAACGTGAAAATATCTTATTAATGTGTCCAGTTTTATGAAACAAACATGCATCCTGGATAGAACATGTCAATACTCCATATCTATAACATATTGTACAGTATGTTCAAATCATGAGTAAGCATATACACACACACACACACACACACACACACACACACACACACACACACACACACACACAGTACACATGAAACTGTTTCACTCACTCAGCTCCTCTTGAGCCTGGCATGACTGCTCCCCTTTGTCTTGTCAGATTTCAGATATCCTCAATTTTTCACACCAGGATCTGCTCCCTCGCTGTCGTCTACAGTTGTTTACTGTGGTTTAGTCAGGAGCCGATCTTGTATGCTCTGATTTCTGCTGTGATCAGTGCCAAAGGTTTCAGGTTCTGCCTGATCTGATCTGTGTGGTTTTCGTCTTCCTGGAGGCCAGACGTTCCCAGCAGAGCAGCTCAGTCTTTTCTTTTTCCTCTGTTCCCTTGAACCACCATGTTTGTGGGAGCTGCAGCCAGTCTGTTTATCAGTGGAGGTATAAATATTCTCATCTGCTTCCCTGTCTAATTTGTAACCCCATCGTGCACACACACACGCCCGCATTTTCACACACTCGCACACACGCAGAGATCCCAAGCACTTACCTTGGAGAGTGTCCCAGGACAGATATAGCATGATATGTCCTCCTCCCCCTGCTTCTGTCCAGCTGATGCAGGCACAAGTGCTTTGCTCATGAAGGACACCTCCCATGTTACTATGAAATATATATGAGTCAAAATAAATGCTGTATAGAGCCTGTTTTGGAAAAGAACAGACTTATAGTCAGTCTCATTAGAGTAGTCTTTCCTTTCCTGACACGCAGCATGGTCTCTCTTCCTTCCACTCCTTGTCGTTGTGACTGATGGGAGCTGCTGTTGTAACCCAGCTGCTCCCTTGTTGTATTCCCTCCCTCACACACACACACACGGTATGTACATTTGCATCTGGTGCATGCAAACACACACTGCCCACACATAAACAAAAACACACATGAACACTGTTTATACTTTTTACAACATGCAACATGCGTTAACACACACTCTGAATGGACACATTGTGGTGTTTTAATTGAAAATTTTATTACTAAAGTTGCCCTTTAACAAATAACCTATCAACACAGGCATAGACGCACTGTACATCCCCTTTGCGAGAAACTGAACACAGCTGTCCTCTCCGACAAATTCAATTAATGAAAATGAAATGAACTGAATGCTAACAGTAGCAACAAACAAGCGCAAAATACACCTTCAACTAACTGTAAGAACCTGAAAATAGTTGCAAAGAAAGTGAAAGCGAAGGGGAAACGGAGGGAAGAGAGGTACAGGAGTTTTGAATGCACAAAGAAGCGTTGGTTTGGACATTAGTGACTGGAGAGGGGACTAAAAACATTCACAAAATGAGACCAAAAATGCTGAAAACAGAACATACAAAAGAGTAGTTTTTATAATGCATGCACAGAGGGAGATGCCAAACCTGGAATGTGGAGGTGGGAGTGAGATGTGTCATCCTTTAACAGCATTTGGTTTCTAAGGTTTGACTGGTACAAACAGTTAAAAAATGCTGGTGGTATGAGATTAGTTGATTGATTGACTCAGCTTTACCCTGCGATAACATCTGTCAGTTAGATAATTGTTTTTCAATCATTTACAAACGGAGGCTGATGCATTAAATGGACTTATTTTCAATATATTTACAATATTTCACTCTATTACATCTAGTTGAGAGTTGATTGATGTGCTGATTTCAGTTCAGTTAGCTGGAGCGTTTGATCAGCATGTCTGCAGATATTTCACACTGGTCTGTAGCATAGGCCGGTCTTACTTCTGCTCTCAGATTAGTCTAATGCAAGTTAAACGTTTATAGGCTAAAACGTTAGCCACCCATCCACAAGGCTGGACAAACTCTGAACTAAAAGCCATGTTTGCATGGCAACATTCAGTGACACCTGCTGACCAATAGCACCAAATGACAAAAAATATAGAGGAAAACATAGCTCATAATTTGTGGTTTGCTAACTATGTTGTGGAGCGAGTAATAATAAGGGAAGGAGCTTTTAAGAAATGCAGCAGTGAAAACATTGTCAGTCGTTTTCATTTGTCCAAATAAACTATCCTGAGTCTGACTGACGAGTTAGCAGAAGTCCTGCTATATGAAGAAACCACAGCACCTCGGCTCTGCTACATGTGTCTTTATTCTAATCGATATTGTTGTATAGTTGCACTCTTTGCTGAATTTCCCCAGAAAGAAATAACCTTATAAATGCTGAATCCATCCACAAAACATTTTCTGCTGGAGTGCACGGAGCTGAGCATGAGTCAGCCATGTTTTTTTAGTATGAAAAAAGGTCTTAATTTGTCCAAAATTCATTGCAAATGAGTCCTATTTAAGAACTTGAGAGTTTTGTTTATCTGAAGTCTGACTAGTTAGATCTAGCTTTGTGAAACCGGCACCTGATGTGGTGATGCTGTTTCAAAACATTATGAACAAGTCTACGTCATGGATTTTCATCTGAAACATTAAGCTACACAAAGTCAACCACCTGCAGATCTAAGAGCTGACAAGATCCCTCTCGATCATCTAGGGGGGAATAATCAGCTTATTGCTTTGACTAAAGACCATTTGCACGCTGTCTCAAACCCAGATGTTATTTAGACCTATAGGACGACTATGATGGGTCAGTATCCCAAACATCAACTCCCGCTCCTGGGAATGTATTTAATCTGGTCAACTCCTAATTTGTTTCTGTTCAATCCAACATGCTCTGTCAAGCCTTCACACACATACAGTACTGTACACGCACATGACATGACAAACACACACCCACAACTGAGAAACGCTTGCATCACGGCCTCAAAATCCAACCCAAATTTACATCCACACAGAATACACTTTCAAAATGTGCAAAAAGGTCAGCGCAAAAAAAAAATAGCTAAAAAACAAAACATCTTGCACAGTTTAATTGAGAAATTGCAAAGTGCTTTCTTTCTTTTTTTCTTTTTTTTTTTAAACCTCTGCTTAAAATGTTATGAGTCTACTTTCTCCCTCCAACATTTGTGCTCTCTTTGGTAGAAAACCATTGTTGTCCAGGAAATCCAGTCTCATATCTGCGTGTCCTTTCTGGACCAGCCATAGAGGGCCATGTGGAAGAGAAACAGAGGTGTGTGTGTGTGTGTGTGTGTGTGTGTGTGTGTGTGTGTGTGTTTGTGTGTTTGTGTGTTTGACATAAGATGAAAAGTGTATATCATGCATACATTTTTATAGAATTACTTTAGCTATATGTAAATACAAACATAACAGTCTTTGTGTGTATTTCATGTGTTTGTTGTTAGCAGTCCTCATCCTCAAAGTGCGTTTTCTGCAGAACCTTTACATGACGCTCATAGATCTTGAGGGCGGGGCCGAGTTTGATTGACAGGCCAGTCAAAACATCGTTTCGCTGCATGAGGAGAAGAGACTTGCCATCGATTTCCTAATGAAGAGAGCAAAGCCGTGGGGGTAGGTAGATGTAGGTTACAACTGTCAAATGTTACAAGTGCAGCCATTAATCCTGTCTCTGGTGGCCTCTAGTGGTTGTTAAAGGAGATTACAGGCTCACCTGGGTCCTGAAGGCAGTAGCCTGCTCGGGGAAACCTGCTGCTGTGAAATAACTGACCACATCAGACACAGTCCAGTCGACTGGGTTCCCAATGGCCCCCTCAGACTTCATAAACCTAGAGAGATGAGGGCGGTTGGCCCATCGGCTCATTAGAACACCTGCTGTATACTTGTACAGTTTTGTCAGAGCTGACAGAGTTAACAGTTTAAAGAATGTAGATTTGTGGTGTTTTTTTTCTGTGGTTTTATTTAATGGTTATTTATTTCCTATGTTTCACTTTTTTTTAAAGAATGTATCAAATAACAGTGTGAAAGAAATTGCTCGTAGTGATAAACCTACACCTGAATCTGCAGTTCCTCGACTTAACAGAGCTTTCTTGTGACCTTCAGCTCATGTTTAGCTGTCCTGCTTGCAACTTTACTGTTCTGGTTCACTCTCACTGCTCTCATAGCGTTGTTTTAGCTATAGCAGGCAGCTGTTTTCAGCGAAATACCTCCAACCTCTACCTGCTCAGTACCAAACGGCAGACTGAACGAGCTAGCTGGTGAACATATGGAGAATTTAGCAGCTAAAGAGAGAACGAAATATCTCCCTCAGGAGTTGGTGTGGATCGAGCTAAAATGAGCTAAACAAGAAAAGGGAAAGGGTTATTTTGGACAGCAAGATATGGAGAAAACACTCAGTGCTTGATGGTGATTTATAGAGATGGAAGTTAACCTCGTCCATATTATGTGAACAGTGTAGGTCCCTTTTTCATACATAGTCCCCCAAATTTAAGATGATCCGGAACATACATTTCAAAATGCCCTTTTTCAAAAGTCTTGAAATTTCATCTCAGCTTTTATTTCATAATGTCACTTTTCATGACAGGTGTGTTGTCACTGCCCTCTCACTGCTCTCTCACCTTTCAGGTCCCTTCCTCCTAAGCTAGCAAGCTCAACAACTGCTACCATATTCTGAGAATTAAATTCCTGTTAATTTGATCAACAATGCTAAATTAATTCTGAATCAACCAACTAGAGGCTTCTACTGTAAATACACTGTACACTGACATTGGTACATCAACATCCCAGTACGAACACATAAATAGCCCTTATTTAAATCATAATGTCTGAAAAGTTGTAAAATTCCCTTACAGCCAAATCCAGACTTAGCGAGCCTGACCAACTATTTGGGAGGCGGGGTTTAAGGAAATGCTGGGGTAATTTTATACCTGGAAGTCAAACTTTCTTGGCTTCATGCATCACTTTGCAATTTTTATGGGAATCAATGGGTCCCTGCCTCTGACGCTGCATCCAGATCTCTTTCTACATGCCTTTAAGGCTTAGCTTAACAAGGCTAATGTTAGCTATCTCTGCCGGCCTGTGAGCTTATTACTCAGTATCAAAGTGAAGTGAGTCCATGTTAGAAAATTTGCTAGCTCTTGTTGGCTTGAGCGGCCACAGAGAAAGTCCATTTGCCTTTTTGATGTTTATGGAGTTGTGTCTTTCTCTGAGGAACAAAAATAAAAACACCGCAGAGGTAACACTGCCGTTAATACATATATAACATTATAAAAAACCAAGCTCTCAATCCAGCCTAGTTAGTTAGCCAGCTAAAGTTGCAGCCTTGTTAAGCTAAATTAATAAAAGATGTTTGTTTCTGTGTCTGTGTTGCCACGTTGCTCATGCTAACTGATACTGTCTAAATCTGCCCCCCCCCCCCCCCCCCCCGCCCCATTAATCAATTAAGTGTACAATTTTTTCGTTTCTGATTGTTAAGAGTTGCAAAAATAAACAATTAAAATGTATTGTTTGCTATGTGTTTTCAACTTATTATTCAGCATGTTCATCATGCATTTAATAATATTCTTCTCTCACCACCAACCAATAAAAACATTGATTTGTGATTTACAGTCCCCTCCAAAAGTATTGGAGCGGTATGGCAAATTCCTTTGTTTTTGTTGTTCACTGAAGACATTTGGGTTTAAGATCAAAAGATGAGTATGAGACAAGAGTTCAGAATTTCAGCCCTCATTTCCTGGTATTCACATCTAGATGTGTTAAACAACTTAGGACATATCACCGTTTGTATTAGACATGACCAAACTCCTCTTAAGGAGGTGAAATTCATGCTCTATTGGGTTAAGGTCAGGTGATTGACTTAGCCAGTCTAAAACCTTGCACTTTTTTCTCCTGATGAAGTCCTTTGTTTTGTTGGCAGTGTGCTTTGGGTCATTGTCCTGCTGCATGAAATACGTCCTTCCGATTAGTTTCAATGCATTTCTCTGTAAATTGGCAGACAAAATGTAAACTTCTGAATTCATTCTGCTGCTACCATCATCAGTTACATCATCAATAAATATTAATGAGCCTTTTCCAGAAGCAGCCATGCACGCACAAGCCGTGACATTACCTCCACCATGCTTCACAGATGAGCTTGTATGGATCATAAGCAGTTCCTTTCTTTCTTCACACTTTGGCCTTTCCATCACTTTGGTAGAGATTAATCTTGGTCTCATCAGTCCATAAGATTGTGTTCCAGAACGTTTGCGGCTAATCTCTGTACTTCTTTGCAAATTTCAATCTGGCCTTCTGATTCTTTCTGCTGATGAGTGGATTGCATCTTGTGGTGTGGCCTCTATATTTCTTCTCTCTGAGTCTTCTTCGAACAGTGGATTGTGATACTTCACCCCTGCACTGTGGAGGTCATTGGTGATGTCACTTACTGATGTTTTGGGGGGTTTCTTCACAGCTCTCATGATATTTCTGTCATCAACTATTATTGTTTCCTTGGCCGACCTGTTCGACGTCTATTGCTCAGTACACCAGTAGTTTCTTTCTTCTTCAGGACTTCCAAATTGTTGTGCTTGCTACGCCCAATGTTTGTCCAATGGCTCTGGATGATTTTCCTTCTTTTCTCAGCTTGACAATGGCTTGCTTTTCTCCCATAGACAGCTCTCTGGTCTTCATGTTGGTTTATCCTCTTTAACAGGAAATGCAGTCTTTATAGGTTTGAACCAAGGATGAAAACTTAGACTAGTCATGCAGAGCTATTTAATGTTTGGACAATCAACCTAAAAGGCAACATCTGGGCAACAAGAAACATCTGTCAGTCACATGCGCCAATAGTTTTGCTCACTTGAAAAATGGGTGGGTTCAAACAAAGGGTGATATGTCCTGAGTTGTTTAACACATCTAGATGTGAATACCATGAAATGAAAGCTGAAATTCTGAACTCTTGTCTCATATTCATCTTTTGATCTTAAACCCAAAACAAAGGAATTTGCCTTACCGTTCCAATACTTTTGGAGGGGACTGTATTATCTAGCACAGAGTTAGCATTACAGGCTAACTTAAATGCCTGTATAAATACATGCATCTGCTTCACACTGAAAAACCACCCAGTGGTGCCTCCTTACTCCATGCTTTGTCTTCATCCGGGCTCATTGTGCTAAAAAAGTTGGATCTACAGGACGGAAATTGGACTTTGTAACATATGCAAATAATCAAGCAAGGGGGAACAGACATCAGCAAACCAATAAATCTGTAACTTCAGTGTCTCCAGTGTCTCTGCTGTACTCACCCTTCAATGCTAACTCCTCCGTTTATCCCTCGTTCCTCAGACATGCCGGAGTCTCTCGGAGAGGCAGTGGGTGTGAGCAGGCAGGATGACACGCCAATCTCTGTCTTAGACTCTGGGCCTATGAGGGAAAAATTAAGCACAGTCTGATTGCCAGACATCACTGATAACCACCAAACACCAACATACACAAATACACACACATTTTGAGATCTGTGAAGCAGAACTCACTGTTAAAGCCTGAGGAGGTATGGTTGATTCTGTCGTGCTGCATCTGATTCTGTGTGGAGAGAAGAGAGGGCGTCAAACAAAGATGCAAACAAATGAGCATGACAAAGGGGCAATATCTGCTCCCTGGAACAAGTCAGAGGCACTAGAGACAGTGTCAGAGGAAAAACTATGTTGAAAGAGTTATACGACCTCCACCTAAACTCAAGGATTAAATGAACTGGCAGCGATAAGATGCACCATGACAAAAGTGCAACATGACCATCTGCTGTGGAAGTGTAAATGATGATGTGCAGGGTAGGAAGTACACTGGTGGGGGAGACAAAGCTGATGAGTCACCCCCACTTTCCATTCTCTTTCATCTGGTTTGGGTTTTTACTTTTCTTTCTGAAGAGAGAGTCAATCTTTTTTCGTCACACACGTCGTTACACTTGTACAATGTGCAGTGAAACGCTACACTGCCATGATCCAAGGTTGTACAATTTAGGTTATCTACAATATGTAGCACTAGTAAAAAGTGCAGACAAGAGAAATATTTTTTTAATATATATTTATACTACTGGTACCAGCTAGTAAAATTTTTACCCAGATTTTTAAATCACTCAACAATCACTCAATAATTGACTCTATAGTAAGAAGTGAATGGAGAATTTGGACACACCGGTGTGTCATTGGTCATTTTGCACCATCAGTGACAGGTTTATTGTCATATCACATGTATCAAGGGTGATGCATCGTATTGTGTCACAACAAAAGGTAGTGTACATGCTATGGACAGAATTAGATGCACTGCAAATTCACAGTGTGCAAAGTAAATACAGACCACTTGGTAGAAAATAGGGAATGATTTCTCCTGATTATTTTGTTAAAAACATAAGCAATCTTAATTAATTAATTACTGAGGAGAAAGCAAGTGCACCGAGCGGCAAGGGATTAGGACAGCAGGGAGCGGGGCACTGCCCGCCGCCCAGTGTCGGCCAAAGAACAAACGCACACGACGGCGGTGATGCCAGCAGGATAACACCGAGCAAAGCCGATGCAGTTCGCGGAGGGAAAGAGCCGGGTTTGCCCGGGACTGACACCCTGAACAAAACTTGCTCACGGAGCATTAATTTTTTCCTTTTCATGTGCCATCTCTGGGACCCTGGACTGGAGACCGTAACACATGATGCAAATGATCCAAACTTGCTGCTTACAGTCCACAAATGTAATGGATGTCGTGAGCTGGGGATATATTTGAAAATAAGCAATCACAAATCTCACAGAACAATGTATTTATTCTATTGTTATTTAATTATTTTCATTAAAATCTACTCTGTCGAGTTTCTGACCCCTAGCAGAGCTATAGATATTTTAAAGAGTGGGTCCCTTTTATCTTGCCTGATGATGGTTTCACACTATTTTACTGATCAACAGTTGGCGGCAGTAATGTGCCAAGAGATGTAGCAATGCACCAACAATGGCAAGGAAGAAAAAGAATGCTAGCAAGTAAACTCTGGTGTAAACAATGTTACACCTCCCCTGAGTGTACAGACTATGTTAATTGCTTGATCATAAGAACTAGTAATTTCTCTATGGAAGCTTTTTAAATACAATGCAATTTCAATATGCCTTTTTTGCAGCTGACATTTTCATTTTCCATCTCAAATGTTTCTTCTTGTGGTAATGAAATGTTAATTATGGCATAAATATTCCATTTCACATTGATTTTCTTTTATTCATGGAAAAATACAGCAAGTGGAATCCCAAGACAAATAAAATAAAGAAAATTTAAAAAAACTGTGTATCTCATACTCAAGCCAGTCTGGGTATTGGCTGGCTACCATACACATGCTGTCTGTCTTTGTGTGTGTGTGTGTGTGTGTGTGTGTGTGTTGACAACAACTCGTTATGTTATATAATTCTGAAATTAAAACCGTGGTGTTCTGTTGGGAGATGCAGTAACTTAAGCCAAGTGTGAGAAAAGTAAAAATCTGGTAATACGTTAGAAGACGTGGATGGAGTGAATATTGTAAGCACGGACCAGATAAAGCAAGGCTTCCAATAACTGCTTCAGTAGTATAAATATGTTAATTGTTAAGCTATGAATAAGCTAGAGGAATAGTCCTCTAGCTGCTAGGCTAATTTATGCAGTGTAAATTAGCCATAGGCTATGCTTTAGCTAATAATGGTGACTAGAAAGTTAATGTATAACCCTGTCATCATCGTAATCATCCCAGCTGCAGAGAGGGAGTTTAGGCTTTTAAGTGGGCGTGACTGTGTAGGAAAGGGTGCGCTGGATTTATAACACAAGACAAAACGAGTGTCATTGCGAAACAGCATGCGTCACAATTATCGTTTAATTCGATTAACTTGTTTTTATAATCGTTGGTAGCCAAAGTCGAAATCGTGATTAAAATTTGATCAATTGCACAGCACTACCTATAGGTTCAGTTTCGAATGCGGTTCAGGCATGGTGTGTATGTTTGCTCTCACCACATGGTGAACCCCCTGACACATTAAAGCCACAACAAGTGTGCAGAAAATATGGACTGAAAAAAGTCCAACCATTAACAGGCGTGCCGTTATTATTGGTGGATATGAGCTGGTTGCAGATAAATATGTATTGATGTTTGAACAGCCGACAAAAGACCATTAAAAAAGAAATGGAGAGAGAGTGTTGTCATTGCATAGTCTGTCCACCAAAAGGCATGCTGCAGCTCCCAAGTTGGCAACACGTGTTTGGAACGCCACAAATCCACCATGCAACTCGGAAATCAGCTGTGTTTTTTTCAGAAGTACTATTTATAACAATAAAAAAAAAATAAACTGCATTATTTCATGTTATCTTGGTGAGTTCTCATAATTACACATAACAAATGCTAGGAATAATCTTTGTTTATATTGTATGTTTCTGAAGGGAAAAAAGAATATCGGCTGATATATCGAAATACTGTATCAGATTTTAAAATCCTCAAATATCAAAATCGTTATCAGTGTAAAAAAAATCCCATATCGTTCGGGCTCTACTGAAAATTTAATGATGTACTGAAAACCTATAATAGAAGAACTTGAAAATTCATGACATTAAACCAAATATGTTTCTCCACATTCACTTTCAATCACCTTTAAAATGTTACTTAATGTATTTAGTACAGAAAATAAGTATTTACCTTTAAGTTAAGTAGTTCTTTATATTGTTATTGATTCATTCCAATTAAATAAAGTACTTAAGATCAGCACTGCCTGGACATTAAAATTACCCTTACATGTTAATGCATCAGTAATAATAGTCCAATAATATAGTAGGCCCAATTTATAATATAATATATATATTTTTACTTTTAATACTGAGGTACATTTGATTGAAAATACTTTTACTTTAGGAACGTTTTGATTGTAGGACTTTTACTTGTAATGGAGTATTTTTACACTCTGCTATTAATACTTTTAATAAGGTAAAGGATCTCTGTATCAACCATTGTAATGAATTGGGATGTGGGACATGTTTTAAGAATATATTGGGGGATTTACCATCATCCAACAATAAAACAGGACAGATGCACATGCTTGCACTCACTTGTGCCTCCATATGCTGCTGATCAGGGGCGACAGCTATCTCCTCCAAGTGTGCACTGTCACATTGTGACAGGGAAGCTCCCTGAACAGGTGGGCAAGGCGTCCTGGTAAGGGGGTCAGACCCGGACATCCCTGAGAGACCAGCAGCCCAACCCAGATGAAAAGAGGGATGAGACAAAAATAAAACTAGTATTTACTGTTAAAATTATTATTATTATTATAGTAGTAGTAGTCACAGTGCATGGTTAATAGGAATCGCGCTTTTTGTATTTATACAGTAATTTTTTTAAAACTGAGTTACAAAAAAGTGCAAAATAAAACAGAAATGACAGTAATATTTATTTACTACAAATAAATATGGAGATTTTTTAAATATTAGTTATCAAAAAGTTACAAAAGTAAAAACTTAAAGTCAGAAATCGATTTAAAATTAGAAAAACAAAATTAAAATAACCAGGTGAAGCAGACGTTTATGCTTAGCAGAGGAAGGTTACTAGCAGTGATGATTAGAGCCGACGCACATACATGTAGGCACACCTTTGCCATCGTGCTGCTGCTGCTGCGGGGGGCTCTGCTGCTTTGATACTGTCTGGATCTCAGCATCTTCTGTGGTTTTCTCAATGAGCTCTGGTTCGGTTGTCATGGTTACCGGGGATAGTCCTCCCTCCTCATCAGAGCTCTGGGGATGATCCTCCTCCTCCTCTTCCTCATTCTCTTCCCGTTGCTCTTCTTCACCACTGGCTGCTTCCATTGGCTCATTCTCCTGGACAGAGGGGGACGGCGGCTGCAATGACAATATATAAAGTTGTAGGCTATTTAATAAAATGTCACCATTAAACGGGGGCGTAAAGGAGAGATAAGGCACGTCCTCTGCGATGGGAGGGCAACACCTGAGTTTGACTTGAAGTTCTCGCTGCAGGCTTGGCTCATTGTACCTGATTTCAGCACATTAGGTCTGCTGCGCTTCTTCGGGGCGGAAAGAGTATAAAAAACACACCTCCCACTTGGACACACACACACACACACACACACACACACACACACCAGAAATAACGATAACCGCCTACTGTAGCCTACTCAAGTCTGCACCCACGGTGGAGGACGAGAGGGAGGAGAGTGCGCTGTGATACAAAGGATTTAATGAAGCACGGATGCGGGGATAGTGAGGAAAACAAAACTGCGGGGTTAGAAACGCGCGCCACATACACACTTTGTAATAGGCTATATGAACAAACGTGATGCTCGGCAGCCCGGCCTGCGCGACGGAGCAGCGCGCGCAGGAGAGCGGCAGCGGCACGTCTCAAGTTTAGAGACACCGCCTACTGTGCGGCAGGCCCAGACACTCCGCGTTCCGTACCGCACAGCGAAAGTTCCTAAGAGCGAAATGAAATGTTAATGAGCCCGAGTGTGGTGGCGACGGAACCAGAAACTGTGCACAGACGCTCTTAATGGTGCGCACGGGGAAGCCGGTCCGGAGATGTCAGCTCCTGTATGTCACCCGCACGTTTTGTGCAGGAAGCCGAGCTAAACACACACAGACACACATTTTACCGAGGCTACAGAGGACAAACGCAGCACAGGCAGGGTCGCATCCCGCTGAATTAGTGACACAACAATTCTTCCGCCAAAATGTGGGGAATCTCATCAATCACTTTATTAATTTAAAACATGGAAACAAACCTATTGGCGAGAGAAGCTGAGCTGAGCGCGTGCTGCCATGCAGTGTGTGCGGTTTTAATCGGTGATCATTAATTTATCAGAAAGCCATCATGCCAGCGGTGTGCAGCGGGTCCGGTACAAACGGGACGTGTTGGCAATATTAAGTTAGCAGTGCTCACCTTTTTGCCAGCGTGCTTGTCCTGCAGTGCGCTCTTCACAAGTCTGTCAGCGGACGCATTCTTCGGCATCGGCTCCTCCACCACCATCCCCCTCAGAGGAAGAGTAATGTTCCCGCAGCGGGTCCTGCGCAGCCTTCCCCTCGCCACCTCTCTCTCCATGACCACTTTGACTTTGCCTCGGGTCAGCTTCTCCTCCGACAGCCGGTCCTGGCTGCTCAGATAGCCCAAAATCTCCTTCAGCCCGAGCGGCTTCATGTGGCCTCTGGTCGCGGCGGCGGAGCCCCCACGGAGGCTCCTCTCGGACAGGCTGCGAACAGAAGCCACCACTCTGTCGCCCAGGTCGGAGTTGGCGTGGTTCCCCGCTGTTTTGGAGCCCCCTCCTCCGACTCGAAGTTTGGGCTTGAGGGGCACAGCCTGCTTCTGTCTCTGTTGTTGAGGGAGGTTTCTGACACTCCCTGAGCAAGTTTTGTTCAGGTTGTCAGCCCCGGGCAAACCCGGCTCTTTCCCTCCGCGAACTGCATCGGCTTTGCTCGGTGTTATCCTGCTGGCATCACCGCCGTCGTGTGCGCTTGTTCTTTGGCCGACACCGGGCGGCGGGCAGTGCCCCGCTCCCTGCTGTCCTAATCCCTTGCCGCTCGGTGCACTTGCTTTCTCCTCAGTACAGCCGCTCCCGACATCGCAGCCCGTTGTTGCGCCACAGCTGAGACACCCGTTTCCGCTACTGGGGCTGGAGGCAGGCTTTAGCTTCTTGTCGCTGGTGCTGGCTGATGTTTGGGTGTGGGGATCTGGGCTGGGCTCCGAGTCCTCCTCTCCCTCCTCCTGGTCGCTGAAGCTGTGCGCACTGTCGCCGTTGTTGTTCAGATGGTCGTGTTTGGTCCGCTCCCTCGCTGCCTCCGCGCCGCTGCTGACAGCAGCAGCAGCAGCAGCCGTGAACTCACTCTTCTTTCTGCTTTTCCTCTGCACCTTCGCCGCGTTTCGGTACGAGATGGACCCCTTGTAGCTAACTTTGAGCACCGTCTGCTCTTGAATCAGTTTTTCCAGTTCTGTCCTGGTTCGGTCCGGGTCTGACCCGTGTCGTCTCCGGACCATTCGACAAATCCTCTCCAGATCCGGACGGGCTTTCCTGGAGCGGAGAGAGTCGATTGTTTCCAGGATCCACTCCCGGTACTTATTGGGCTCGGACATCTTCTCCTGCTGGTGCGGATGGGGTTTGGCCCGAGTGCGTCTTTTCCCCCCTCTGTTGTTTCACAAGTGACGCTGTGTCAACGCTGGGAAGCCAGAGTGCGATCCCCGGCTGGAGAATGAGGACGGAAGCCTGGCTGGTACGCTTGCGTTCGTTGGCCACATTGTGCGCTTAAGGTGGACCGAAGATGGCGCCTAGATCGCAACCACAGACGCAAATGGCATTTAAGGTGGAATTGGCTGGCTTTTAGCGCATCTGAGCTGTGTTCTTTGTTCGCAGTCTTGTCCGGATCAACGCACAGTTTGTAATATCCGATGTTAACACAAAGAAAGACCAAAGCACGGGCCGAACAACGAGGCAAGGAGGCGTTTGAGTTTTTAGATGTCGTGTTTTAAAGCGTTATGGCGAATCAAATGGAACCGGCCGGTCAACAGATGGGAGGATGACGACTCCATTCCGCACCAGGCGGCAGTGATGGAGGTCTGACCTCTAGGCTTCAACACTCCACCACCGAGAACATTTCAAATATCTCATCATCTACAATTCACTCGTTCCCAAACTTTCTGTAGCTGAACTGTCAACTAAACTCATCCAGGAAGCACACACACACACACACGTCCAGTAGAATTTTACAAGTAAAACTTTATTGGAATGATACTCATGTTGCAAAATATTACACTTCGTGTTTTTATGTCACTGCTCTCGTGACTTTAGACGCTTCCCTTTGCAGTGTGTGTGTATGCGTGTCTGTCTGTGTGTGTGTGGGGGGTATGGTTTACATTGGGGTCTCATTTCCCTAAAAAGTGCGACAGTATGTACCAGCATTGTGCCTGCATCGAGAGGAAGTTGTATTACTGCAAAAAACATCGAGGAGACACGGAATAATATTGTATTATAACTTCAAACATTGTCCATGATCATATAGTCAACATTAAACTTGACATGGAGGAAATACAGCGAATGTGAAGTCTCAACAAGTGGTTTACAACAATGACATAATAATAATAATAATAATAATAATAACAATAATAATAATAAAAGGTTGGTAAATAAGTCCATAATAACTGATAAGCCAGCTGATAACTACAAGTAGGAGTGTATCCACCTTGCAGCTCTTACCACCATCTATCTGCCAATATGATTTTGACTTCAGGTTGATCAATGAAATGTTGAGTTTTTCTGCTGTTTCACCTCTCTCAACAAGAAACAAGTGAAATCTGAGCACTGAACATGAAAGGGATATATATCTTTTTTTTTTCTTTCCTGAAAGCATCCAACATATCCGACATGGCATTTAATAATACAAAAGTGCCTGAAAACCAAGCAAACAAGGACGCCTCACGTCATTCAATGTAATTAAACCCAAATGTAATGAATATAATGTAATTTTGTCAATACACAGTATTTTAAACCCTAAAACAGCCAACTCAGTTATCGTACAGCCTTCTTGAGTTGTCAGATGCTCGCAAGTCGTTAACATGGGAATCTTCTTCGTCTCCATCCATCCCATATGACGTGAACGTTATTCAGCCGAGGCTGCAAGTCTCTTGCAAGTTTTATGGAAGTGCAATACTGAATCACTGGAGTGGCCCTTTAAGACCTTCATTAATTCAGTTGATACTGTGCTTACATGCTGCATATCCCTAAATTAATTTGTGTTTAAATCAAATTACCACACAGTAAACCTGGGGCCATGTAATATTCCAGCATAGTGATACTGTTCACAACGTACAGAGTGGGAGGGTGAGGTGGGTTAATAGGGGGCCTGGCCATGGACACTGGGCTACATAGACCTAAAAGTGATCTGAAACTGCCCACCTTGAAAATTTCTCAATGGTACAGGTCATTTTAAATATAATTCCAAGTGACTGATATGATTGTACAAATGTGTTATTCTGAAAAAAAGGCTTGTTGTATTTTCCCATATCTGGACTGAGAAAAAGGGAGCGCCTGAATGAACCAAATCACAATATCACAGTCATTATCGTGGCACATTAAAATACAGCTATGAAGACGGCATTTGAATGTTTAAAACACTAGTGTCACTTTGTTTTAATTGATACAATCGAAATGACCCAATCCAGTAATAGCCACCATTTTGGGCATTGCTTAAATACTTTGCCAGCATAGCTCAGGAGCTAGGGAGGCATTAAGTGCCCAAGGTGTTGTGTACTTTAAATAGGCAGCCTGTATACCACTATGATCATTTGTGTCACTTCTCAGTACCTTTTCCTCACTTGTTCAATGGAGGGCCCGCCATCTTTACATCATCACCACATGAAAAAACTAGACTAAACAAAAACTGTGCATCACAGAGATGGGAATAGAGTTGCTGTCACATGTAAGACTGTCACATGGTGATCCAACTTTGCCAGTGATAAGAGGAGAGGCCCGGGTTCTCGGGAGATGAACACAGACACAGGTTTCTATAAAAGACACCAAGCACGCTATGCAGACCGCCCTCAATGACTGGTCAAAGTGCTCTGGTGACTGCCAGCCAGAGGCAGTTTGAGGTAGTCTGCCTCAGATGGTCTCTTGTAGCTGGAGTTGTCCAGAGTTGTCGCGTTAGCCAAACCAAATCTTCTGGAACGGGAAACTGTGGAATACGCTAACCAAACGACTTAATATTCCCTAATGTTCCTCTTAGTGCTAACCAGAACTTTAAATTCCCAAATCTATATCGTAAGCAAGTATCTCACACATTATCGTTACATGCTAATCCTAACGCTTTATGCTGATAAAATGTCTAATAAGTGATATGTTCAAACCTGAGAGACCATTATGTTATGGTGTTCCTTCACGACACCATTAAAACTGAGATATTTCCGTTCCCTTATCCACACTGTTTGTTAGCGTGACATGATATCACTGGAGCCACTAATATCTTGGAACATTTAAAAATTGAGTGTTGTAGATATGCATGAAGCCTGGCTATGCTAACAATGACAAGAAGTGTAGATGGAGTTACTTAGCTGTAAACTTAACTGACTTTTCCTCCTTAAGTGTCATCTGTTTAAACACACAACGCATCACTTTTGTTTTTTGGCCAATCATGCCAGTGACTCAAAGTATTCTGTCTCCGATATGAAACGGTAAATATATTTAAGGAAAACTAAAGTTGAGACCACAAAACATAAAAGTTATTTAAGTGCTTATGTGTGATTCACTTTAATGCTCCTCCTGCTCACCAGGGAGATCAAGTTAGCCGGTTGTTCAATTTAAATTTAAGAGACTTATTGTGCAGATTGAGACCTCAGCTTGTATGACTCAACAGGCTTCATGTAATGACCAACAGATTGCACTGAATTACAACAGGCTGACTGACTGCTCTATGATGTGGCCCGAAAGTGACTAAATGATGAATGAAAATTGAAACGAGCAGGGAAGATCTTGGGTGAGAATAAGTGGGGGGTTCCCAACAGCCATGAATCTGAAGCACACGTTCATTATAAAGGGATCCATAAATAAGACAGAATAATAAATAAATACAACAGAAAAGGCAACACTGCTGGTTATCACTCTCCTTACTCTTTTTCCCCTTCTCTATCCCATTTTCCCTCTTTTTGTAGCTGGTGCTTGTGATTGGACAGGAGACAGTACTCTCTCCTTACGTCTCCCACTTGACCAGCCTACCTTTGACTCTCCCTACTTCCTTCTTTCTTCCTCTCTCGCTCTCTAACTCTAGAACTCTGCAAACTCCTTGGCACATTTCTCAGTGAAGGAGACACGGATCTCCTCCTCCTCGTAGTCGTCAAAGTTGCTGGTGTCGCCTGGTCCTTTGAACTTTGGGACGAAGGGAGCTTCCACCTAAAGACAATTAAAAGCACCGGTTGAGAAGTGACGTTTACCATGGGGAGGTCATAAATCTACACAATATACACACACACACACTACCTTTTTCTGGTAGATGGCAATCCAGTCGGTGGTTGCAAACCACTTGTGTCCCTTGATGTCGTTGACACCGTTCTTGAGGTTCCCGTAGCGTTTTGTGAGATCCACCTGAGCAGAATACCAAACACATTTTCCTCACCTTTACATTATAATGAATTCAGAACATGCAGCAAAGTAAATGTAATCTTAACATCAGAATGTCTGGGCTTTTTGCCGTCACCTGTAGCAGGTTCCTCAGGAGGTCCTTCAGGTCTGAACTGAAGTGAGATGGGAAACGCACCTGAGACAGAAGACAAGAAGAAGAATGAAGCAGCAGTAAAGTTCTCAGATTTAGCAATGTGACCGGATGTCTGTCGTGAATCCCTCACAATTTGATTATATCTGTAGAGATAGACTAACTAATGCTTCACCTCCCTTCAACTCGTCAGTTCTCAGGTGTGACTGTGTAGAGTTCAAAATGAATGACGTTGTAATAAATGCAAAGTGTGCTGAAAAAAAGCCACATTCAAATAAATATCTATTTTTATGCTCCTGCTGTCCTCTGGCACAAAGGACGTTGTTTTTAACCTTTACTGAAGCGGGGAGGTATGGCTGAGAGCAATCCTCTCTTTATCAGGAATGCCCTGTTGACACTCACTCTGTTACACACAGGCCTGCCCAAGGCAACCTCTGTGGTGGTAATGAGAGAGGGACTGCTTATTCACTTTTCCCACTCAGGTTTATACTGCTGGTCCAAGGATCAAAACTGGCGTCTAAGCCCGCTTCTTAACCTTTAGGCCACTACTGCCCCATGTGGTGGTATGACTACAGAAATCCAACATGGCTGAAGAGAAACTCAAACTTGACCAACAGAAAATTCAAAGAAAGTAGAATCAGCATCAACCCTGACTGTAAAATGAATTACGAAAAGGAAAAAAGATATACAACATATCTGCTTATCACCAAAGGTGTTGCCAAAAAAAACTTTCTAAATCTTATAAACCTCATTTAGGAAATGGGCTTTTTAAGATGGATGTAACACATAAATATGCATTATGACAGGGCATAGCAATGACAAAAAAATGCAACATAAGCGACTGCCTGGAGCAGCAAAGGATGGAGGAGGGAGCTGTTCAAAGGGCACCTGTTGTGTGTGTGTGTGTGTGTGTTACTGTTAGCAATTAGCGCCTCTGTGTTTTGCCATACATGTGTGCACCGCTGATGTGCAGCAAAGAAAGCATTAGCCAGTGTCTCCTTAAATGAAAGCATATTGTTAGGACAGAAAACAGAAGCAGCTGACCGGCTGCACCTGAATTCAGGTGGTGAACTGACCTTTCTTAAGAACTGAAATCATCATACTATCATTATATGTTACAGTTGTATGTAAAAGTTTAGGCACCCCTGAATAGTTCCATGATTTTCATTTATAAATAATTGGGTGTTTGGATCAGCAATTTAATTTTGAGCTATCAAATAACTGAAAGACACAATTATATTTCGGTAGTGAAATGAGGTTGTTGAGTTGGAAAAAGGTTCATTAGATGAACAGAAAATGTGCAATATGTACCAAAATTAAATTAGACAGCTGCATAAATTTGGGCACCCTTGTCATTTTGTTGATTTGAATAACTGTAACAATCTAGCACTGATTAATTGGAACACAGTTTGTTTGGTGAGCTCATGAAGCCTTGAACTTCATAGACAGGTGCACCCAATCATGAGAAAAGGTATTTAAGGTGGCCAATTGCAAGTTGTTGTTCTCTTTGACTCTCCTCTGAAGAGTGGCAACAAGGGGGCCTCAAAACAACTCTCAAATGACCTGAAAACAAAGATTGTTCAACATTATGGTTTAGGGGAAGGCTACAAAAAGCTATCGCAGAGATTTAAGCTGTCAGTGTCCACAGTGAGGAAATGGAAGACCACAGGCACAGTTCTTGTTAAGGCCAGAATTGGCAGGCCAAGTAAAATATCAGAGAGGCAAAGGCAAAGGATGGTGAGAACGGTCAAAAACAGCCCACAGACCACCTCCAAAGACCTACAACATCATCTAGCTGCAGACGGTGTCACTGCTCAACAATTCAGCGCACTTTGCACAAGGAGAAGCTTTACGGGAGAGTGATGCGGAAGAAGCCTTTTCTGCACACACAATACAAACAGAGTTGCCTTGAGGTATGCAAACGCACATTTGGACAAGCCAGCTTCATTTTGGAAGAAGGTGCTGTGGACTGATGAAACAAAGACATGCTTGGCAACCATCAAACCTAACTGAACTGGAGGTGATTTGCAAGGAGGAATGGTCCAAAATACCTTCATCCAGAATACAGACACTCATTACAGGCTATAAGAAGTGTCAAGAGGCTGTTATTTCTGCTAAAGGGGGCTCAACTAAAAATTGATGTGAGATTTCTGTTGGGGTGCTCAAATTTATTCACCTGTCTACTTTCGTTTTGATGCATATTGCACATTTTCTGTTCATCCAATAAACCTCATTATATAAATTATATAAATCATAAATTGCTGATCCAAACACCCACTTATTTAAGTGAAAATCATGGAAATTGTCAGGGGTGCCTAAATTTTTTCATATGACTAAATACCAGCCTCGAAAGTGTACATGCTTGACCCAAATGTAAAAAAGACCTTTTCGGGAGTAATTTCAACGTTTTGTTTAGTCCCAAAATAGAGCTATACTGAAACTAACTAAAATACTTTTCCATCATAAAGCATCAGAAAGAAGTCAGAGAGTAGGCATTAGGGGTGAGTACTGAGTATAGCTAAAAGCAGCAAACCTTACAAATAGAGACTGAAGGAAGCACAACGGGGTAATCATAGAGTCAGACTCACCTTCCCCGATACAATCTTTTCATAGATCTGAATGGGCTGGTCAGCAAAGAAAGGCGGGTACCCTGCTGCCATCTCATAGACCAGTACGCCCAGCGCCCACCAGTCTACTGCCTTGTTATACCCCTGGTGGATATAATGAAGAAGGAGCAATGGGGTGGCAGAAAAAGAGACAGTATTGTAGACAGATAATTAAGATCAAATTTAAAGTGTTTGTTTCTTGTAAATATTCTTATATTCCTATAGCTTTACTGAACATCATTCATCCGACACTTCAGTTTACTGCACCTTATATTTCCAACATAGTCGGCGAGTCCCATAAGGTTCAGAGAGAACAGACAGATCGCTGCATGTAGCAGGTCACTGACAGTAATGAATTAGTCATTGGGATATTATAGTAAAGATGAGAACCATCCCAGAGCCTTACAGAAAACAAAAAGCTGAAAATGGCACATTTCTGATCAAAAAGAAGGGCGGGATTTAGCTTTGATTGCTGCAGTGTACGCAGGCTAGCTAGTCCAACCTTGCTGCCCCTGGTTTTGGGCCACATTGAAAACATTGACTTAGGGATTCACTTCTTGTTTTAAGGGTCTCATATTATGCTCATTGTCTTCTAGAAAATGTTGACAAGCTTTACTATTTAAAAAAACACATAATTTTTCTCATACTATGCATTGCTTCAGCACCTCTATTCACCTTCAGTCCTAACACTGTTTTAGCTCCTGTCTCTTTAAGGCCCCCCTCCCCGAAGGCCCACTTTCTTCAGACTGGCCAACTTCTGGATGCCTGCTGAGGGGCAGGAACTAGCTGCCACAGCACTTAAAGTGTGGTGAAAGGTCTGGCTATGTGATACCAGGCATCACTGATAACTGAACAAAACACAACTTTACAACTTTATTTACAGATTTTGGTGAAACAAGATCAGATTTCATGGAGAAAGTATTTTCTGGTTTTCCCTCTGATGTGCTCCGCCTACTCTGCCTCAACTTTAAGTGATTTACGGTGTTTCCTGATGGACAGATAGCTTTACTTGTTGTTAGCAGTTATTTTATCTGCTAACTACTGCTAACGGTAGCTGTGGCTAACTAGTTAGCTCAGTTAGCCGTGCAGCTAACGGTCCTATTAGCCGACTGCCCAGACTGGAAGCTTGGTGTGTTAGTGTTTACACCTCTAATGTTAGTACAGGAGCTTTGGACCATTGAGAGCGCCCAGTTTAGGCAGAACCAGCTGATAACGACAGCTACAGTTAGCAGTAGCTAGTTGTTACTGTAGTGTCGGCAACAAGTAAAGACCGTTGAGGCAGAGCAGCTGGAGGACATCAGAGGGAAAACCAAAAACTGTTTATCTTTCCTTCATAACCATAAAAGCACTTTCAGCGACGAAATGACAGCTTGGTGTTGTGTTGGACGCTGGGGCTGAGAGAGGTGTATTCAGTACATGTTCAGTGGGCGGGGCTGTCTACTGCGCTGAGGGGCTGTGGGAGGTTATATGCTACACAGATCCCTCCATGACGTCATGAAGGGAGCCAAATTATAACAGCATGTTTGCTGAACAACATTTACTGAAAGACTGAGCAGGAGATAAAGAGAGTTTTTTTTCAGTCTGGGGGTCTTTAGACACAGGGGACACCGATGTTGAAAAGACAAAAGTGCATTTCGCATAATATGCGTTCTTTAAGAAACATCTGAGTTGTGTATGCTCTATAGATACTCCTTAAACCCAGATGTTTTGAAAAACTCCAAGTGACCAACATCAACACGCCTAGAACCATTTCCTCAGGCTGATAGGACCATAAAAACACTTTAACTTTGGAATCAATATTTCTGCAATAACAGAAGGCATGTGATACAATTGTGCCAAATCAAATTAACATTGTAATTGTTGTAACGTGGTTTATCTTTGTGCAACAAGTTGATATCATTGTTTGTTTAAATGCAGAATATGTCGTTTTGAAACGAAACACAGCTGACAATTCACAAGATACAGAGGGGAACCACGGTGGCTCACCTTGCTGAGAATAATCTCTGGGGCTAGATATTCTGGGGTGCCACACAGTGTCCAGGTCCGGCCCTTTACACGTTTGGCAAAGCCAAAATCTGTCACCTGAGAGAGGAAAAGAGAAAGCAATGACAAACAATGAAAAACAGATAAAAGAGAAATACCCAGACACACTGTCAGAGTGCCCGGCAGAAGGAAGGAGACACAAAGACGATGGACAGAGGCAAAGAGAGGGAAAGAAAATCTTGTGGCAGCAATAGAATGTTTCACTAGTTGTTCTTTCACTGTGAACCACTAGAGGGCAGCAGAATCTGTGCTACAAGCCCTTAACGTGCCAGTCAGAAAATACAGCTAGATAAGTCCAAATTCACATTGCCACTATCGTTGGACTAATATAGTTAGCTCTTGGTCGTTGTTGATAGTTTCTAGACACTTCCATGTCTGTGTGACATCACAGATTAAGGGGTGGGGCAAACACTTTCTATTCTACTATTTCTGGGACTCCCTTCTTTATAAACATTCACCAATACAGTCCTAAATGTTCTGTTTGCTTAATAATCCTTCTCATTCCTATTGGTTATGATGACACTGTATCCACCAGTAGGAGGAGACGGAGGAATGCAGTGACACATAGGAGTCCACATGATAGCACAACTAAAGCAAATAGGTATTAAAAAGTCTGGTTGACCTTAAACACATATTTGGAAGTGAAAAAATAGAATAAGCTAGATGGGATAGAAAACTGTCCATTATATTCATACAATGCATTGCAAAACTGCATGCAACTAGTACTACGGTGAAACAGAGCTCCCCCTTTTAAAACTGGTTGATCCCCCATGGACTCCACTGTGAAGCTATGTTACATTACATTTATTAATTTAGCTGACACATTTATCCAAATATGTCAGAGGTCACACGCCTCTGGAGCAACTAGGGGTTAAGTGTCTTGCTCAGGGACACATGGGTGTGTCACAGTGGATTCGAACCTGGGTCTCACACCAAAGGCATGCGTCTTATCCATTGCGCCATCACCACCCCCAGGTTAGGTGTTGTCATTGCATCCTTATGACTCGATAATGACATAATGACAAAGGGGCATTATGGAGTTATCAGCAGCCACTAGCAGCGCGGTTTTAAGATTGCAACCAGACATGTGCTCGTACATGTTCTTGCTTGAACTCATGAGCGAGCATAATCTGAAACACAACCGCTTTTATACAGAAATCCCACAATGAATGTGGAAACACAGGCATGCAGGCTGTGGCTTTTCTCCAGACATGTTCAGGCTCTGTGACTTCAATGTTCCCAGCTCAGAGGCAGATCAACACCTTTCATACAGCGCAGCGAGCCAACACAGATAAAGTTAGCAACTGCTCAGCGTTAGTCAGTGAGATAACGTGACTCTCTCCGTGACTCTAGCCTTTCTAATGTTGACATTGTTTGATTCTCATTTGGTCTGATGGGCTTCAGCACATGAACCTTTCATGTTGGCGTTCATGTTGGAGTCTATGTTGTGTTGGGAGCCGGTTGTTTTATGATTTTAGTGGACTGCAGTACGTTAGCTGCTGTGTTGTCACTGTAGGTGGAGAGAGGCTCGGGAGGGAGCGCACACAGGGCTATATCCTGACACCTTCACTTTAAAAGCAGAATAGTGGCTGTTCCAAGCAACAGAGAAAACAAGTGTGTGCTTCATTTCTAAGTGAGGTTAGAGCCCATTGACAAAAAGGCAGTAAAATTAGATTTATTAATAAGGGATTTCATTGAAAAACTACATAGAGCCATAAATGATATAATATTATAATATCCAGGTAACTCAATTAAGTGACAGGGAACCCCCTCCCCACACAATAAAACAATGTTAACAATGTCCCACATCTTTATATATATAAAATTTCTCATCTACCCCAAGTTAATACATGTTAAGACTGTTACGCCAAGTACGAGCTGACTCAGGTGGGGTGGTGCATCACTCACACTAAGCTAGCAGCAAATACAAAGTTAGCGTGGCTCACATATAAAGTTTTATCTGTGTATTTCATGTAAAAAGTGATAAACAGCAGAAGGGGTGTGGTGCACTCAAAGCAAATACACAGAAATGGGCCAGTCTGCATCCTACATCTACAGCCACTGAGACAACTCAAGAGAGGCTGGCATTGCTCAGCATTTCTTGTGAACTAGACTCCCACTGATGTATAAAGGTTCATTTAGGCCTATTTATTCTATGAATACATGCAGGAATTTATATATACAGAAGAAAATTTTAGTTAGCCAACAATTTTTTGAGGGAGTAATTTATGATCAGCTTTTATACATCACTGGATCTGGTGTTATTTACCTGTATGTAGCCCTGTTGGTCTATGAGCAGGTTTTCAGGTTTCAGGTCTCTGTAGATAAGGTCCAAAGCATGCAGGTACTCAAAGGTCAGCACGATCTGAGCAGCGTAGAACCGAGCGTGAGGCTCACTGTATAACATACACGCATACACACAAACACGGGGAAACAGACAGAAAGAGAGCAGTTTAGTGGAGTGTACTGCACAGAGCAGAACGGGGATGAACAAAGCTAAATAAGTCGAGCTGAAGAGAACAGAGCTGTGTAGAAGAGGGGAGAGCAGAGCTGCTCCACATTTTATCTCTGTCTGTGCCTATAAAATGCTTCTGGCTGTAAACTTCATGTAAACCCCACTGTATACAGACACTAACCTAAATCTGCCAATTCTCCGTAGATGGGAGAACATCTCTCCACCCGGTACATATTCCATCACCATGTAGAGGTTAGTGTTGTCCTGGGGAAGGGAAGACAGAGGACCTGTTAGTGACACTCACTCAGTCACACACACACACGTATTGATCCACATATAGGGTGGGCAACCAGACAACATGAAAACAGTATTTTGTCAATACAAATTAATCCACTGACTTTTCAGTTATTACCATATAAAAGCCCCAATGAAAATGTGCCTGTAACTGTGTCTATTAAACAATGACTTAGGCGTCATATATTTCCAAAACCTGGTTTGGTATGTCCTTCAGACCCTTTCACAGAGCTAAATAACACTGGCTTTATATTATAAAGGAGGATCTCATTCTCAACCCGCTCCTCGGTTGAAACCTGCAAACACAGTTTACTGTCGAATATATTTAAGTAAGAGGAGTTAATGTGTGATTGTTGTTGACTCTTCCATCTGTGTGCAGGAAGAGGCACGTGGAATATTCTGTTAATAGGTTTATTTGAGGCATCGAGGATATTCAATTCACGGACATCCAAGGTGCATCTAAACAGCTTAACCTGAATAATGCCTTAATTGGAGTACGGCCATCAGCTAGGTTAGTCTGTACAGGTACAAGCAGCCGCGGACAAAGCTGGGTGCTGAAAATGCTGAAGAAGAGAGAGAATGTGGTCATTGAGCATGTGGTGGACCAAGCTCATTTCACTCTATATTTGCAGATGACAAACCCTTAATGGGATTAACTGTCAGTGATGGTGGATGTGATAAGTAGGATGAGATCAGTAAATTCAACTGATTATTGCATCAGCAATTTAACTTAAAACGTTAACAAGACTAAAGATTTTTATAAAAACAAACAGCAGGCCTGTGTTGTGATGATAAGAGGTTCTGTTGCTGATACTTGGAAGTGGTCTTTCACCAGAAGAAAGAATAACATTTTAGATAAATGTCTACACTATTTATTTGTTCCCTAATAAAGACTGGAGTAAGGTGAGAATTTTAAAAATCTGTTTTGATTTTGTAAATATCAAAAATAAACAATTCTCTCACATTTTGACTCACAGTTTTAGAAGTTCTTCAACTGAAACTCCGCCAATCTTTACATTATGGACTAAGCCAGCTTTTTTTTTCTGTAAGTAAATAATATTTGACTCCACACAAAGTTAGAGAGGGTTAAACTTCACATGCAGTGTTTGGGTCTTTGAAAAAGGCAGTCATTTACCATAGTACATAAAAATGAAATAAATATAAACAAATCTTACATACAAATAGACAACTACAGTCGTCAGCCGTCAGGGGGAGACTCTTTTTAAAGATATGGTTCCAGTTAAGTGTTATAGAGAATGTGATAATACATGTATTATCAAGATATACAGGAAAATACATTTGTAACCTTGGACCATTCTGAATTTGTACAAAATGGCAACATTCAGATTTTATAATGTAAGAATAAAGAACATAAAGTTGAATATTAGTGGCTCTAAATACTAAAAATAGTCTTGTACAGTATGTAGAAACTTGCTCTCCATCCAAAACCAAAATATGGCTGCTGAAACCCAATCATTAGATATTTAGTTGCCTTTAAGAACAACAAACTCACTTCAGATATTTCTGGTGTTTAAAGCCTCCTGTCCTGATGGAATATTATTTCTGCAGATGAGAACAGCCTCTTAAGCGGAGCTGAAGAGGGGGTGGTGGTAAATCAAGCAAAACGGCTTGATCAGTTCATAACCATATAGGTTTCATACATGGCCCAACCATATACTACATTTTGACCTAGACTGTAAGGGTCGTGTTAGGCAAGAAACTAACTCTTGTGTTTCTGACCGTGACAAAGGCAAAAGTGTTTATAACTCATCTGAACGGCGACACTTGCAGGCCGCCATATCATCAGCCAGAACTTGTTTTGCTGAATGACAGCCAAGCAGTACGCGTTTATGCTCATGATAGGCAGATGCTTAACTGCTCACAGGCCATAAGACAACTGGGTGTGCTTCGCTGAAACATTTATTCGGTTTTTCAATGGACCACCACACACAGGCCTGTATACTAACAAACACACAGCTTCAAAAATGCAGCGTACCTTGAACGAGTACTCTAACCGCACCAGAAAAGGAAAGCTGACAGCCTGAAGAATCCTCTTCTCATTCAGAGTGTGCTCTATCTGCTTGAGCTTCACTACCTGAAAGGCAAAGCAAGACAGAGTTTATATGGTATGTAATAAAGGCCATGTAAAAAAAGGAATGCAAAATTTAAATTATCAACAAAAAACACTATTGCGTATTAACATGTGCGTTAACAGTCAAAGGCCTCTGGTCCGACACAGTGGATTAAGAACTTTGTTTCCATCCAATATTAATAGATGCTGTTTTGCTGTACTTCTTCAGAGTCAGAAATAAGTTTAGATAGGAAAAGCCAACTAAGAGGGCCAAAAGGCCGTAGTACTAAAAAAATGTTAGTACCCCTGATCAATTTGTCTTAAAATATGTGATTTTCTTTGAGCTATTTCTGCCATCCTTAAATAATGACATATAAATATAACTAATTCTCAATACATGTGTGTAATAATTCTGTTTTATAATTCAGTTTTTATTTATCAGTTAATAAATTAAATAAATAAATAATTCATATAACATTAGTAAAATTAAAATGTTTTTTCATTTTATAAAAAGTACTTGCTAATGATGCTTTTCCACCTTTTCTTAAATGTGACAAGGCACTTTATACCAGTCACAATACCCTGGTTTTCTCCCAATTGTATTGCAATAGCAGCGTACAGCATTAGCATTACAAGTGTCCACATTGAAATTATATATCTTTTAAAGAATGCTTCAGTTAGGTTTTCATTCTGGTGATTTTCACCTGGCATTTTTTATTTAACACACTACTGCAGATGTAATTCGTCACATTAGATACTTGACTATCTGGAGATAACATATAGGGCAGATATTTACAATATTTCCAAAATATTTCACACAACATTCACACACACATTGACACCTACCTAGTTCACTACACACTCAATAGACAGTACTGCTTCGTGGCAATATTGGATTTGCAGGAATTCTTGAGCCTTGTTTTTTCAGGTATTAAATTCACTGTAGCCAAAAGCAGACACTCCCATCTGCTTATTTTACCTATAAAAAGATCTACTTATAAATATTATGTTAAAAGGAGGGGATCGGAGCGGGCAGGACCGCAGGCACAATTTAATTCTAAATTGGGTCCCAAAATTACCCTACTGAATGTGATCTGCATAAAGACAACCTCAGCTCTGCCACTCCACCGACGCCTGCTTCAGTACAAGCAGGATCAAAGTGGTTCAAACAAACAAACAAAAAAAGGCTTGCACCTGTACACAAAGAGAGCCTCGGGCCTTTCCCCCCATGAATCCCTGGAGCCTTGTGAGCACAATGTTTCTAGATTTTCTATGACCAGCCTGTAGGATTCGGGGAGTGTCCTTAAATGACAGACATGTTTTAAACAGCCTCCGTCCCCCTGTGACCCTCCTGACCTTCTGCTTGTTGAGGATCTTCATGGCATAATGCTGTCCCGTTTCTCTGTGCCTCACCAGCATCACACGGCCAAACGAGCCCGTGCCCAGGGTTTTCAACCTCTCAAACTGCTCCAGGCCAGCAGTGTTCTGAGCGGACAAAACAAAAAGGGTTAGGTTGTGAAAATGGGATAGTCAGATATGTGGACTGGAAAGGGATTTTTAAAATATTTTTATAATGTATGCTATGCTCACATTGACTATTCATTGTAAATTATGTATGTTTTTATACAGCCAAGCAAATAAATGGGTGTACATGTATGGTACTGTTCAGTATATGTGCGTACAACATAGTAATCAGAGGATATGATTATGTGCATATTAGATATAATTCACATACACTGTACAAAATATTCATATAGATCCCATTTGTGTTATGTAAATAGGGCTGGGCAATAAAACAATAATGATAATTATCGCAATATAATTTTCCTCAATATATCATCAATAAATGTTTGATTTAATTCATATGAATCACGAACAAATCAGCACTTAATTTTCCATTAAGTTATTTATTTTGTTGAGGAAAGGGATTGAAAAAAGGTTTTGAATGACATTTTTTAAATTTTATTCATGCATCTTTGCTGAAAAAAGATTTCATCACAATTAGCCTCAGAGATCCACTGTTTGGCAAGACATCATAACACAAAGTATATCTTAAAAAAGCACACGTCATATGTCAAGTGTTATTTTTTCAGAACTACCTGGGTTAGACAGAATGTTAAATATACAATGAAAAATTATTTTGATTAAATTATTATTTATTATTATTATTCTGTCTGTCAAATATGTCGTGTTATTAGAAGGTCTAAAAGCTTAGTTTCATTGCAGCACACAGCACGTCCAACTTTTTCATCATATTTTCAGGGCTGGATGATACAGTTGAAATCAATGGATTTGTGAAACCAAAAGACAACATGATCATAACATCTCGATATTTTTACTTACACAGACTTGGATATGAAAAACTACTGCTTGTTTGCACACAAAAACAAAAGCTGATTACAATTTAGAAAAATATTTGTCCCATTCCGCTCTGAACACACATCCAAACACACTGACCTGTGCGGGGTTCTCCCACTTCTTGAGAAAGTCCTCTTTGGCTTTAGCAAGGAACTCCTTGACTGTGGATGACAAAAACACAAGAACAGCTTTAGTGGGGTGTGTATATGTGTGTGTGTGTGTGCGTGTGTGTGGAAACTGAAAGAAACTGAAAAAGAAATAGTAACATGCCTCCTACGTTTTCTGAAATCAATTGTACAGAGCCTGTGTTTTTTTTAAAGAAATATAGACCAGTTAACACTGTTGACATCTCACTTACATTTTAAGAATACTTGTTTTAAATGCAGTATTTCCCATGTTTGAACATTTCTGGACATTGATAGATAACCAGCACAGAAGGAGGAAAAACTAGGAATGAGACGAGGATGACGTGAATACCGGTGTGAAGTTGGTTTCAAACACAGATAGTTGCATGGTATGCACCTCAGCTTCCTGGGACAAACTCAGTTATACTGTTGGAGATTAAACTTTGTTTTGTGTCATCTTAAAATCACTTGCAACTAACACAGACGCACCGAATAAGAAAACATTGTCAGTGTGTCAAAGTTTGCAGGACGTGTTGTTCAGTCTGTCAATTTTTAAGTCCACTGCAAACGTCTGAAGGCAGAGGAATGAGCCTCAATAACACCAGCTGTGCTGATTCTCTACATACTGCATCTAGAATAAACTTAAAGGGGTGCTTCAATGATTTTACACATAAGAGGTATGTTTACTTTTCATGGAGAGTACTTCTAAGCTAAGAAAACTCTTTTATAATGTTTTCTGTAGTTCAAAAAGTTGACAGAAAAACAAACTGGGAGTGTAGAGTTTGGAAGATGAGGGCATTTAACAGAAAGTGTTGGTCCAATTAAAGATGCTATTGAGTTGCATTATGTGAATTGTAGGATCTAGTATTTTTTTTTAAAGCTCTCATACCAGGAACTAAAAGTCAGAAAACCTCTGCAGCATCAATTTTGGCCATTCTTATCAGTCTCTTATGAGTTTCCAACTTTATGGAAGTGCAGTAACACTATTAAGGAGAAACCAAAATAACTGAAGTAAACTTGAA